TTCCCAGTGAGAATGACTTCATTTGTGGAGATGTTCTTGAGAGATGCCATGTCCTTGCAGAATTCCAAGGAGTAACCTTTATCACAAAACTGACTTATGCTAAGAAGGTTATAATTGAGTCCTTCAACATAAGATACAGCTTGGATGGTTAGTCCCTTGTACACCAGATTTCCTAGCCCTTTAGTAAGGCCAAAATCGTTGCTTCCTCCAAAAGTAACCCTTGTACCATCATAGGGAATTAGATTGCTCAAAAGGCTCGCATCACCCGTCATGTGTCTTGAGCAGCCACTGTCTAAGTACCAGACACCTGGGTACTTAGCGGCTTCCTGCATTAGGGGGAAGATTTTGGTACCCATTTCAGTTTGGGTCCGAAATGGTTAATGGTGTGTGTCCCTACATCAAGTTTAAAGTTGCAGGAAATTTTCCTTGTAGCTCTAAACTTGTTGGGATTGTAATCATAGTTGAAGGCATAAAACTTCCTATGTGCAGGAGGTGCAATTTCCTGTTTCCTCCTAGCAGACCTAGGTTGATAAGACCTATAGTTTTGTCTAGGTTGTGCATAGTGTGACCTGTGTTGATTATAAGCATACTTAGGTGGCACAAATAGTTTCTGGGGTGGAGGATGACTATATCTTGGCATAGTTCTCCACTCAGACTCTCTTGGAAAACTTCTGTCTTCCCCATAATGAGTATAGCCTCATGTATATTGGGAGTTAGAAGGTTTTCTTCTGAAATTGTTTCCTTTTTGAGGTCTGTCTAGCTTCCTATAATTCTTAGGAGGGACTACCTTTTTGGGAACTTTTGTTGGTTTCTCCTTTTCCTTCCCTTTCTGCTTATTAGATTTGGCAGTAGGTTTAGGAGGGATGAAAGTTGTCTTCCCTTTCCTTTTGGAACTAGAGGAGTCAAACCCAAGTCCTTTGTGATCCTTATGTTTGGTCGTTTCAAGCAGCTTGTTCACTACTTCTTGGGACTTGAGTATCCCTAGCTCTTTGTTAAGGGATTTTACCTTTTCAGAGAGAGATTCATTTTCAGTCTTGAGTTGAGTGATCTCATTCAGTTGACTATTCCGACTTTCAGTCAACTTGAGATTCTCTTCACTCAATAGTTTGTTCTCTTCTGTTAAGGATGTGTGTTTGAGATTTATCTCCTCAAAGTCTTTCATCATCTTTTTGAACTGGTCAAAAAGATTTTCAGAAGTTGGTGTGCTATAAGAAGATGAGCAGGAGGTTTGTGAGGTTACCTCTTGATCAGCATCATCTTTGGCCATTAGGCAGAGAGTATCATCTTCTAACATAGTCCACCTTCCTCACGGTTGGACTTCTCAACTCTGCGCTCCATGCAGACGAGGGCTTCTTCATCCGAGCTTGAGCT